AATTTATTTTAATTTTTTGTTAATTTTCAAATTACGTCCACTTTCGGCCATACGAGTAAACGGCCAAAAGCGACGATCTTTTTAAGAGGACCACTTACGTCATCTGGGTTTAACCTGTGGAGGTCTTAACTGGGTGGTAATCACGGCTCCACTTACGAGATCTGAACCTCTTACCTCCATCATGGCGGCATAGTCTGTATTTATCAAGCAGTTTACGAGCTCTAAGGTGCTAGGAGGCCATCCATAAGTACAATAACCACGGGTTTGAGGCGTCCCCTTACCTCTTCGGAGATCGTAAACTGCTTAATATAGACTCGAGGCGCCACAATGAACGTAAGAAGTGCCGATCTCGTAAGTGGAAACTTAAGTGCTTGATGAATTCTGGCTCTATATTCTATTGCCTTTAATCCCTTGTCTTAGCTGGCTCTACATGAACTAGCCCTCAGACGGCTCCTGTACCGTCACGAAGCCTCTACACGTCTCTGGCTCTAAAGAAAAGACTTGACTCTATACACTTTACCTCACGAAGGAGAAAAACAACATTCACTTACCTTACCTACCTTACCTTGAGGTGCTTCCGGGGCTTAGCGTCCCCGCGGCCCGGTCGTCGACCAGGCCCTCCTGGTTGCTGGACTGCTCAACCAGGCTGTTGGACGCGGCTGCTCGCAGTCTGACATATGAGTTACAGCCTGGTTGATCAGGTATCCTTTGGAGGATACCGACCACTTCTCCATTAAGGAGGAGAAAACCCTGTCTGAATCTCCCACTACGATTTAGCTCTATTTTTGCTATATAGTTATTTTAGTCCCTTGCTATTTCCTTGTATTTCCTTGTATTTCCTTGTATTTCCTTGTATTTCCTTGTATTTCCTTGTATTTCCTTTTCCTTGTATTTCTCTTCGCGTGTCGTGATTACCAGAGGGCGCGAGGCATCAAAGTTCTCCTTATCTGGGAAGGGAAGAGGGGGAAGTTTGGATACGTCTCTTGATGGTGAGAGAGGATGGTGATTGTGCTGCGGATGGTGAGGGGGTAGGAGTGAGGGGGATGGTGAGAGGAGGAGGAGGAGGGGGTGTGTTGGGGTTGGTGTGCTGGGAGGGCTGAGAGGAAGACTGAGAGTGTTATCTTGAGGTTATCTTGAGATGATTTCGGGGCTTTTTAGTGTCCCCGCGGCCCGGTCCTCGACCAGGCCTCCACCCCTAGGAAGGAGCCCGTGACGGCTGACTAACACCCAGGTACCTATTTTACTGCTAGGTAACAGGGGCATAGGGTGAAAGAAACTCTGCCCATTGTTTCTCGCCGGCGCCTGGGATCGAACCCAGGACCACAGGATCACAAGTCCAGTGTGCTGTCCACTCGGCCGACCGGCTCCAAGTGTTACTGAGATATCTCGCTGAGTACAATTCTAGTTCGCATGTTAATATTCCTCTCAGTTCTTCTCTGACTTTCTTCACTCGTTGTCTCTATAGACGAAAAGAATGGACACGGGGGAAGAGGCAGCAAGCGACGAAGAGAGTGAAGAAGGTGAAAGACTTAAAAAGTGAGAATAACTGAGAGAGATAAAGAGAAGGGAGTAAGTGAACAAAGACAACACAAGAAGAGATATAAAGATATATAGATAATGTAAGAAATATTAAGATTGGGAGAAGAAGGATATAATATATATAAATATATATAATATATATACGTGTATTCAGCTAGTTGTATTCATCTAGTTGTGCTTGTGGGGATTGAGCTCTGCTCTTTCGGCCCGCCTCTCAACTGTCAATCAACTGATTTTTTTCCACACACACACACACACACACACACACACACACACACACACACACACACACACACACACACACACACACACACACACACACACACACACACACACACTGGAAACAGCCCGTAGCAGCTGTGTTAACTCCCAGGTACCTATTTACTGCAAGATGAACATGCGCATCAGGGTGAAAGAAACTTTGCCTTCGCCGGGGATCGAACCCGGACCCTAGGACTACGAGTCCCGAGCGCTGTCCACTCAGCCGTCAGGTGTGTGTGCATGAAAAAAATGGTCTCAGAGATTTATCTTTTGGGGAAAAACAAAATGTCAATCCCTGGGGAAAATTCACAATTTCCCCAACACAACAGGTAAGAGACAGTCAGAAGCCTGTCTCCCGTCTTCACTGGTACACCAGCCACCCCGGCCCCCCACCCCCCACAATGGCCCTCCCCCACAATGGTCCTCCCCCACACAATGGCCCTCACCTCACAATGGCACCCCCCCACAATGGCCCTCCCCCCCACAATGGCCCTCCCCCCCCACAATGGCCCTCCCCCCCCCCACAATGGCCCTCCCCCCCCACAATGGCCCTCCCCCCCAACCACAATGGCCCTCCCCACACAATGGCCCTCACCTCACAATGGCCCTCCCCCCACAATGGCCCTCCCCCCACAATGGCCCTCACCCCCCACAATGGCCCTCCCCCCCCCAATGGCCCTCCCCCCCCCCACAATGGCCCTCCCCAACCACAATGGCCCTCCCCCCCACAATGGCCCTCCCCCCACAATGGCCCTCCCCCCACAATGGCCCTCCCCCCACAATGGCATTCCCCCCACAATGGCCCTCCCCCCCACAATGGCCCTCCCCCCACAATGGCCCTCCCCCCACAATGGCCCTCCCTCCTACAATGGCCCTCCCCCCACAATGGCCCTCCCCCCACAATGGCCCTCCCCCCACAATGGCCTCTCCCCCACAATGGGCTCTCCCCCACAATGGTCCTCCCCACAGTGGCCCTCCCCCCCCCCCACAACGGCCCTCCCCCCACAATGGCCCTTCCCCCCCCACACAATGGCCCTCCCTCCCACAATGGCCCTCCCCCCCCCACAATGGCCCTCCCCCCCCACAATGGCCCACCCCCACAATCTCTCTCTCCTAATGTTATCATAAATTTTCCTCATAATGTTGTCAAAATGTCGTTGGTAATGTTGTTGTGAACCATCTCTCATAATGTTGCGAGTGTCCCCTTGTTATGTTGACACCTCCCTCTCTTCTCTCCCTCACTCCCTCACTCACTCCCTCACTCACTCCCTCTCTCCCACTCCCTCTCTCCCCCTCTCTCTCTCCCACCCGCTCCCTTCCCCCAAAATGGTATTGCGAAATTAGCGCCCGTTATCGGATCAGCGGGTCCGCAGGGAGGCTGATTCCTTCCTGGCCAGCTTCAAGGTCCTCGCCGCGTCCTCCAGTCTGCCCGGGAATATTGGCTCCTCCGTCTCTCCGGCCCAGAGGCGGGTTCGTCTCCCTCCGCCGGAGGTGAGATGACACACTCTTATCATCCGGGATGATGTGATTCGTTAGAACGCATCTCTCTCTCTCTCTCTCTTTCTCTCGCTCGCTCGCTCGCTCGCTCGCTCTCGTGTGTTCTCTGGGTCTGTCCACGGCTCCTCTATCTTGCATTTTTGCGCACATATCCGCAATTTAATGCGTGTTTTTGCGGAGGCGTGAGACGTTGGCCCGACCTCCGCTGGGTGCCCGTGTTCGCGTTCATGTTTGTAATGGTCATTTTTGCAGAGATAATTTCTGTAATTAATTTTATTTTTCATTGCATCTTGCGCTATTTATCATTGTCCATATTGCTTCGCTATAGGTATCTTTGGTCGTACATATACACCGCCTGTTATATATATATATATATATATATATATATATATATATATATATATATATATATATATATATATATATATATATATATATATATATAGGTTATATATATATATATATATATAAATATTATATATATATATATATTTCATATAGAGAAAATATATATATATTAGGCAAATATATATATATATACTATATATATATATATATATATATATATATATATATATATATATATATATATATATATATATATATATATATATATATAATATATTCATTCCTAAAGTACTTTCGTGTTAATCAAGAGATCATCAGAAGGCTGAACATTACAATTCAGTGGAGGAGATATATAGGCGGAATGTGTACATGTGTACATGTGTACATGTGTACATGTGTACATGTGTACATGTGTACATGTGTACATGTGTACATGTGTACATGTGAGGTGTACTACAACATATGAAGAAGAGAAAAGTGTTTATAAGGGCCAACAGGAATGACAGGTTGTTATCCAGGGTTAAGGTGGTTAGCACTTTATGTGCCTCGGGCCTGGAGCACCCACCACAACAGCACCACAACATTAGGCCTAATGTTCTAACAACTTTTACAACTACCACCACCAACTCCACCAAACATCAACCTTATCACAACCAATACCCCCTACCACCCCCCTAACCACCCCCCAACCACCCCCCAACCACCCCCCAACCACCCCCCAACCACCCCCCAACCTCCTCCCAACCACCCCCCAACCTCCCCCACCACCAACTCCACCAAACATCAACCTCATCACAACCAATACCCCCTACCACCCCCCTACCACCCCCAACCACCCCCCAACCTCCCCCCAACCACCCCCCAACCTCCCCCACCACCAACTCCACCAAACATCAACCTCATCACAACCAATACCCCCTACCACCCCCCAACCACCCCCAACCACCCCCCAACCTCCCCCACCACCAACTCCACCAAACATCAACCTTATCACAACCAATACCCCCTACCACCCCCCAACCACCCCCCAACCACCCCCCAACCACCCCCCAACCTCCCCCCAACCACCCCCCAACCTCCCCCACCACCAACTCCACCAAACATCAACCTCATCACAACCAATACCCCCTACCACCCCCCAACCACCCCCCAACCACCCCCCAACCTCCCCCACCACCAACTCCACCAAACATCAACCTTATCACAACCAATACCCCCTACCACCCCCCAACCACCCCCCAACCACCCCCCAACCTCCCCCACCACCAACAGCCTCAACTACTAGAAAAATGAGTTTCTTAAGTTATATATTAGTCATGATGAATAATTCTGAGTTTCTTCATCCACAGGGCGGCGCCAGGCCACCCAGCTCATCTATCGAACGCCGTTGCTCGTGTCTCTGGTGATAGACACAATAGACAGCTGAGTCAACATTAAGGAGCTTGGAACCACTACCTCTCCTGCCACACTCAGAGACCACCAACTCTCTGATCTCTGCTACGCTGGAAACGAATTACTCTGACGCGATCGTCTGATCTGCCAAATCAGAGCCCTGCCAGTCAGTGTTGTGAAGCAGATCGTATCAGTGTTTGTCCTAGAAGCGGTATTCAGTCCCGTGAAGCGAACCAACTGACTGCAATACTTCGATCATACTGGATATCAAACCGGAACTGATATTTTTCATTTTTGTACCGACGGAGTGAATGGAAACCGGAGCCAGGGCCAGTAGAGCATTACCCTCGCTGTGTGATGCTCACTTATTGCGTCCCGTCGACTCTCTTCCTCCTCGTAGCTCTCACTTCCCACACACCACGAAATCGAGAACCACTAATATCCTAAACGTATCGCCTAATCCCGTATCGATTTGATACAGACAAACCTATTTTTTTAACGTAATTACCGGAGATGTGTGTCATGATACGGCGTCAGAAGCTGTAGATGAGATGACATAGTTGTACGTCTCTAGAGGAGAGGACGGGGCCCTTTGCGCCTCCTTGAACCTTGCCGTGTCACTTGTATGTGAATGAAACACGGAGCCTTAGGTCTGTGTGGCACGCTACGTGTTCCTGGAGGCTCCCTAGCTCCTTACGGGAACTTCAAAGTCCGGGGACGCTACTGGACGTGAACTTGTACCTGGTACGGGCTCTGTATGCGCGACAAACCTCAACTCAAAACGGTTCACCACTTGGCTAGAAGGAGCGATAGTATTCGTTCTCACGAGCCAATAAACACCAGGAATCACGCCCAGTCTAGCCAGATATCCCCTGGAGGCCAATGTCACCTACCAGACGGCCTCCCAAGTCTCCTACCACCCGGTGCAGGTGACACAGCCTGCCCGTGCCACCTTCTACCCGCCGGAGGTGAGCAGATCCACCCGCTACTCGCGCCACCTTGAACAGGTGAACACGCCCACCTGTCCTTCCCAGGACTCGGAGCAGGCGTCCACGTCCACCTGCGACATGAGTCGGAAACCCAGCAAGCGGTCCCCAGCGGCCAAGTTTGTGTACGTCACGCCCCCAGCGCCTCAGCATTGTACACAGGTGAGTCTCCCACTGTACTCATGTGAGTCTTCCATTGTACACAGGTGAGTCTCCCACTGTACTCATGTGAGTCTTCCATTGTACACAGGTGAGTCTCCCACTGTACTCATGTGAGTCTTCCATTGTACACAGGTGAGTCTCCCACTGTACTCATGTGAGTCTTCCATTGTACACAGGTGAGTCTCCCACTGTACTCATGTGAGTCCACACACATCCACACACACAAGCAACAACCTCAACATTTCCTGAATGATTGTTCCCATACACTAAGACTAGAGTTTATATGTACTGGGTGAACGTGTTATGAATATAGCGGCAATGACTCACTAGTTCAGTCTAAAGTTAACTGGTCACTACATTAACAAGGTTGTCTGCTTTCAGTCAACTGTTTCAATGGTTCTCTCGGCCAGTCAATAAAGGTTTCATTATCTTTTTACAAGAACCATTCATCCAATTTTCAAACATTCATTTCAATATCTTTTCCCCATTTACATAACTACTTGCTGAGAGACATATGGACAATATCATGATATCAGGTGGTTAAAAAACCTCAGCGATAACGAGTAAAGTTATCTTAAATCAATATTGATGCTTCATATTGGCGAAGAAAATGAATGAATTGAACTAGGGAACTATCAGTGTGGGGGGTTATCTTGAGGTTATCTTGAGATGATTTCGGGGCTTTAGTGTCCCCGCGGCCCGGTCCTCGACCAGGCCTCCACTCCCAGGAAGCAGCCCGTGACAGCTGACTAACACCCAGGTACCTATTTTACAGCTAGGTAACAGGGGCATAGGGTGAAAGAAACTCTGCCCCTTGTTTCTCGCCGGCGCCCGGGATCGAACCCGGGACCACAGGATCATAAGTCCAGCGTGCTGTCCGCTCGGCCGACCGGCTCCCAGCTCCGGGGGGAGGGAGGGGGTAAAGTGCTAAGCCATCACGACTATATAGCACTTGGAAGGGATCAGGATAAAGATTTGGAATAGGACTGGGGTGGGGGGGAAGGAATGGTACCCAACCACTTGGACGGTCGGGGATTGAACGCCGACCTGTATGAAGCGAGACCGTCACTCTACCGTCCAGGCCAAGTGGTTGGGCATGAATTGAGTTTATCGCCAAAAATCCATTACCTACACCATCGCAAGGACTCCTTAAGATTTCTCAAACAAAATTATCTTCATGTGTTGATAACAGCAAAGAGATAAGAACATAAATACATAAAGGAGTTTAAGCATGCTAAGCGGATTAGATAAGCACTCGAACCTGTTCGGGACACGAAGTAACGGCTTGTCAGACCGCTTCCTTCTGATGACTGAACCGTGAGAGCCCCGTCCCATATATGAGGGCTGCACACTGCACATGCATTGTGGACGAAAGAACGAGAGCCCACTATATAGCCATAAAAAATTACCCCCACGACACTCCCACAAAACAGCCCCCCACGACACTGCCACAAAACAGCCCCCACGACACTGCCACAAAACAGCCCCCCACGACACTGCCACAAAACAGCCCCCCACGACACTGCCACAAAACAGCACCCACGACACTGCCACAAAACAACCCCCCATGACACTGCCACAAAACAGCACCCACGACACTGCAACAAAACAGCACCCCACGACACTGCCACAAAACAGCACCCCACGACACCACAAAACAGCCCCCCACGACACTGCCACAAAACAGCACCCCACGACACCACAAAACAGCCCCCCACGACACTGCCACAAAACAGCCCCCCACGACACTGCCACAAAACAGCCCCCCACGACACCACAAAACAGCCCCCACGACACTGCCACAAAACAGCACCCCACGACACCACAAAACAGCCCCCACGACACTGCCACAAAACAGCCCCCCACGACACTGCCACAAAACAGCCCCCCATGACACTGCCACAAAACAGCACCCCAAGACACTGCAACAAAACAGCACCCCACGACACTGCCACAAAACAGCCCCCCACGACACTGCCACAAAACAGCACCCCACGACACTGCCACAAAACAGCACCCCACGACACTGCCACAAAACAGCACCCATGACACTGCCACAAAACAGCACCCATGACACTGCCACAAAACAGCACCCCACGACACTGCCACAAAACAGCCCCCCACGACACTGCCACAAAACAGCACCCCACGACACTGCCACAAAACAGCCCCCCACGACACTGCCACAAAACAGCCCCCCACGACACTGCAACAAAACAGCCCCCCACGACACTGCCACAAAACAGCCCCCCACGACACTGCCACAAAACAGCACCCCACGACACTGCCACAAAACAGCCCCCCACGACACTGCCACAAAACAGCACCCCACGACACTCCCACAAAACAGCACCCCACGACACTGCCACAAAACAGCACCCCACGACACTGCCACAAAACAGCACCCCACGACACTGCCACAAAACAGCACCCCATGACACTGCCACAAAACAGCCCCCCACGACACTGCCACAAAACAGCACCCACGACACTGCCACAAAACAGCCCCCCACGACACTGCCACAAAACAGCCCCCCAAGACACTGCAACAAAACAGCCCCCCACGACACTGCCACAAAACAGCACCCCACGACACCACAAAACAGCACCCCACGACGCCACAAAACAGCACCCCACGACGCCACAAAACAGCCCCCCACGACACCACAAAACAGCACCCCACGACACCACAAAACAGCCCCCCACGACACCACAAAACAGCCCCCCACGACACCACAAAACAGCACCCCACGACACCACAAAACAGCACCCCACGACGCCACAAAACAGTCCCCCATGACACTGCCACAAAACAGCACCCCACGACACCACAAAACAGCCCCCCACGACACCACAAAACAGCCCCCCACGACACCACAAAACAGCCCCCCACGACGCCACAAAACAGCCCCCACACGACACTGCCAAAACAGCCCCCACGACACTGCCACAAAACAGCACCCCACGACACTGCCACAAAACAGCACCCCACGACATTACAAAACAGCACCCCACGACACGACAAAACAGCACCCCACGACACGACAAAACAGCACCCCACGACACGACAAAACAGCCCCCCACGACACGACAAAACAGCCCCCACGACACTGCCACAAAACAGCCCCCCACGACACTGCCACAAAACAGCACCCCACGACACTGCCACAAAACAGCCCCCCACGACATTACCAAACAGCACCCCACGACACGACAAAACAGCACCCCACGACACGACAAAACAGCACCCCACGACACGACAAAACAGCACCCCACGACACGACAAAACAGCCCCACACGACACTGCCACAAAACAGCACCCCACGACACGACAAAACAGCACCCCACGACACTGCCACAAAACAGCACCCCACGACACGACAAAACAGCACCCCACGACACGACAAAACAGCACCCCACGACACCACAAAACAGCACCCCACGGCACCACAAACAGCAGCCCCCACGACACGACAAAACAGCACCCCACGACACGACAAAACAGCACCCCACGACACTGTCACAACAGCCCCCGCCAAGCAGACATTCCTCTGGCCCTCGCCCGGCGACTGGGGGGCCAATAAGCACCAATGCAGCATCAGCGTGGGCAGAACTACAGCTCCGGAGCACATGCAGATCTCCACTGCGGCAGATGAGGCGGCGCGGGAGGCTGGAAGGGGAGGATGCGGAGGCATTGGAGCGGAGATGAGGCGAGGCGAATGTGAGGGGGAGGCAGAGAGAGAGATAGAGATAGAGATAGAGAGAGAGAGAGAGAGAGAGAGAGAGAGAGAGAGAGGAGAGAGAGAGAGAGGAGA